TACACTCTTTTTTCTTTTTTAATTGATTCATTATTTATTTTCGAACACATGGAATACAAAACTTTAGCTTGAAACCGTTTCGTCTAATTACAATAAATTTTTTCCGGTTGGTCTCGAGAGAAATTTTGCTGTCTCTTAGCAGCCATATATATTTTTTTTTCTAAATACAGCTTGAAGGCAGCTTAAACTACACTCATACTATAGCATAATACTGAATGCCGGTAATGTAGTCTCGAATTTTTTTTTTCTCCGATTTACGTGGAAAAATTCGAATGAACTTGGGTTGAATTATACTTTTACTTCCAATCAAATTTTTTTTCTTTCTGTGATTAATATTTTATCTACTTTGAAAATTTCCAAATAACACGAGCGCTTAAGGCATGCAAATTTGGATTTTCCAAACTTTTTTATTTATATTTTTTTAATTATTCGTAAATATTTAAGACTTGACTAAGCAAACTGAGCAAAATCTGTCAAAAAATTGTTGAGAAGTCCTTTGTCTTTTTTTATCAAATAACTGGAAATTTATTTCTTACTAGCGGACCCGACAGACGTTGTCCTGTACACACGTCTTAAATTTATAAATTTTTAAAATGAGCTTGTATAGAAACATCATTAGTAAACAATATGGAATGGGCATTCCTCAATAATTAACATTTTCCCGTGGACTGAATTGTAAATCTAAACCATTTTGGAATCCACCGGAAGACACACAAAAAATTTCATTAAAATCGGTCCAGGCCTTTCATATACGTATATATATATATATATATATATATATATATATATATATATATATATATATAGATTTATATGGATTAAAGCACGCAAATTAAATCTCCACACAGGAAAAAAATAAACTTGAATCAAGTAAATCATTTTGAAGAACTTGATCTTCTTTATTTGAGTAAATTTTCTCAATTCAAGAATTTTTCTCTTGATTTAAGTTAATTTTTTTTCAGTGTAGTTAATTAATAACAAAAACAAGGCCAACTTATTGATAATAATCGCGTGAATTATTTCGTAAACGCGCGTGTGGTTCCAACGCTCGCCCCAAATTCACATCATTGGACCTCACTGAATCGGATGAAAAGTAGAATCGGATTATCGCGTATATATCACAAATGAAATATGCATAATCTATAATCCGACATTCAACAACGATACTCAATGGATCATCATGTGTCTTGACGATAACGCGTCTCTCTGCGAGCAGAATCCTCATAATCCTCGGTACACGTTATATAGAACAGATAATCCGATGTATTCATCTCAATGTTGCTTTGCTTCATATCCACATATATCATTGGCATCTTGGTCAACCATACCCTCACGGTTTCTATCGACCGTGACTCTGTTCCATAGTGCTCAGGATCAAATCTCGGTTTGCATTTCTCGCATAATCAACGTTCTCCTTTCTCTTGTCCCAATCGTGATTTTATAATAGTTCACATGTACTCTATAATTGTCCCAAATTTGCATTTTTTTAACTTTCTAAATGTCAATTTTTTTTGCAATAATTTATTTGTTAAAAAATTAAATATCTGCTGAATTAATTTTCTTAATAATTTTTACATGTGAAATTTTCTTACAATAATTTAATTACTAAAAAATTATAAAAAATTTTTTATGTCTGTTAACTTTACACTGAAAAAAAAATAAACTTGATTCGAGAGAAAAATTCTTAAACCAAGAAAATAATTATTTTTTGAATCACGTAAAATTTCTTTAAATCAAGAAAAATTTATTAGTTCAAGAATTTTTCTACTCAAATCAAGAAAATTAAGTTCTTCAAAATTACATACTTGATTCAAGAATATTTTTTTTTCTGTGTAGTATTATAATAAAAATTAATAATTAATATTTATTTTTTATTTCAGAGTAGAAAACTCCAAAATAATAATTTTAGCCGCAATAGCGATAACTTTGGTAAATAAAAGTAAAAATGAAAAAATTTTTTGAATTCTCAAAATATTTTCTTTGATTTTAAAATTATTCCCAATGCTTCTCGGCCAATATCAATAATTCAATTATTAACACTATTTTTTTACTCTTTTTAGAATAAATATAAATATAAATTTGATTTTGATAAGTAGTGACCTAAGATCGAATAAACACGTTAACTTGTCCCGAGTAGCAGCTAAATTTGAACATTTGGAATTTTACGGTACTGTCGATACCACAACTATGGCTTACAATATTTATTTATAACGCTGTTACATGAGATATATTGCACATAAATATTGCTCTATATCCCGTCTACAAGTACTTTCCTTCGTATTTTCTAACGATTTACGTTCTGTATATATAAAATAAAAATAGATGTTACTTTTTACAAACTATCTGAGAACTTTTCCGTGTTTTTCATTTTTCGACCAACATTATTTATACGTTTCTTCTAAATAATGACTTTTTAACCGAGAATAATTTTTTACTTACCTTCTTTTACAATTAAAAAAAATTCTTAATCAATAAAAAGGTAAAAATTTGGAAAAATAAATTTTTTTAATCGTATCGATAGAGTTTTATTTAAATATTCTTATAATACACAATAAATCGGCAATTATAATTATTACGCCAGTTAACATTTCATAAATAATTCAATTATTTATCACCACACCAATAATTACAGTAATTCAATGCCTCGATAACTTACAAAGATATCCATTAGCTTTGAAAATAACATAAACACTCCTCGAGCTTTGTCCAAAATATCCGATATCGCGATCGCATCAAATAGTATTGAGTTTTCAGAATAAATCACTACACCCCGAGCACAAATTCCATATCGTCCCTTCAGCTAAAATTATTCATTTTAAATTCCAAGCTTTTAATTTTTTTTTAAACCACCAAATATCTCGTTAAATTCTAGTAATTAATTATTAAATTCAATTTGCCTATTTATTTACAGTATTTGAAACAATTTACAATTTAAATTCAAACGTTTGAGTTGATATGAATTTGATATTTCAATAAAAGTAATTTAATTTTATTTTAAATACAATAACTAATTGTGATTTTAGGCGTAAGCTAGTCGTCATTATACACTTATTTACATTTTTATTTTTATTATTAGCATGAGCAATCATTAATTAAATATTTTAGTATCACTAGTGTAATTTTATTTCAAATATTCGCCACTTAAACCTTTACAATAAATTCAATATTAAACTTCAAAATTATCACAACAAAAATAAAAATCTCTAGCCGGCGAATTTAAAAATATTAACAGTAATAATTTAGAAAAATTATTTACAATTACTTAATTTATTTACAGCTAAAATAATCATGAAAATTTTAAAAAACGGGGCTCACTTTTTATTTTTCACGATTATTTTATCCAATCGATAATATATTATATATGTAATTCTTTAAATTCCAAGTCATGAGTCACTTTAATGTTAATGATAAGCTATGACGTATATAATTGTTTATTCAACCGAATTCGAAGAAGAACAAAGTTAGACTAGGTCAGACTATACCTTACTTTTCTTTCTCTCTTTCTCTCTTCAGCATTGCATGTTATACATACACGTATGAATAATACTTATAACAAGCACATGCCCTGTCACCAACAATGCCGTCATTTAATTTAGACTTTCAACAAACAAACTAAACTCATGTCCGACCGAATAAAGTTTGCTCTACTCAGATTTTTCCATTAATTATTTCCGCTCATTCTTATTCCACAAATATATATATTAAAAGAGTTTTTGCTTTAAATTAAGCAGACGTCAATATAGTTTAAAATTTTTAATTATCAACTGTCCACAGACCAGATATATACAATTCGGGTTATGTACATAATATATACAAAAATTCGAATACGCTAGCAAGCAAATTAGTTTATTTTTTTTTAAGTTAAAGCCGTTGTAGGTCTTTATAAAATTGCGCTATGTATTTACAAATAATACTGATAACTAATGTATGTACACTTTTCACAAGCATGAGCGTTTGCGTATTAATTATTTAATTTTAATTGTAATTATGATAATGCGGAAATAGAAAATCAATGTAATTTAATCAAGCTGGGATTTATTTAAAGGTTTAAAATGATGTTTTGATACAAAATTAATTTATTAATAATATTAGCGTTTTGTGCCGCTATCCTGTAGATCATTAATGAAACCATTTTGATCACGTAAAATATCAATTTAATTAATTAGCATGGTGGTTTAATTAGCAAAATTGAAAATAAATATCTTATTACTGTTATTATTATTATTATTATTATTATTAGCGAGAGAATATTTTAATTTATCAGTTTAAAAGTATTAAATAATTTTTATTTTGGAATTAAAATTTTCTACAAAGCTCAATTGGGAAAGATTTAATAAATTAAACTAATAGAAAGATTTTTTAGAACTTAGAAAAAAAATTTTTTTTTGTTAAAAATATTAATTTTATTCTATTAAATATTTTGAATTAATAAAAAAATTTTTATTTTAAAAAAAGGTAGTTAAATAAATTATAACAAATTAATTAATCAATCTTTAAAAAATCCTTCTATCAGCATGCATAGAAAGCCATAGCGAAGAATAAATAAATTCAATAAAAAATGATTAATTATATAAATAAAGAAAAAAAAAAAAATTGGTATAATCCAAGTGCTTAATCCGACCCAGCCGGATATTTTTTGGGGTTATTTTGTAACAAGGTTACTTTGTGCAAAGGTCAGTTGTGCGGTCACTGTAATTGTGTACAAGCGTAAGCGACTTTTATTTAAAAAAAAAAGTACTTTAATTTTATCACATCGTTAGAAAAATGAGTTAGAAAAAAAATTTGGGCGTTTAGCAGAGTATAAATTATAAATAACTACCAGTGACCATTATTCGGCCTAGTTACTGCGGTATTGGTTAATTATTAACCCTGAGGTTGTTAAATAAAAAATATTTATAGAAAAAAGATTTGAATTTGAAAAAGTTTTTGTCGTAAAAGTTAAAATCTGATGGATTTAATTAACAAGTTAATTATAAACGCTACTTAAAAATTATAACTTAGACGGTAACTTCTTCGGAGCATCTACTTTTATCATCTAAATTAATAATGATCGCGTGAGTGCGGGCATGCCCGGATTTGTTTTTATTTCTGTCCTTGTCCTTAACTTTATTTTCATTATTTTTAGCGGGTGACAAGTTCCCGATATTTTCCTCCTTTCTATCGGCGGAGTCTCTGGCCTGGGGCTCGTCATCAATATTCCTGTCACCCTCGGTGATTTTAGAATTTTTAAAATGCCCCGAAGTCGAAGGAAAAGGAATTTCATGACCCGAATCAGTTATCAACAAACTATCGGATTGCGGAGTTACCAAATCTCCTCCCTCTGCTAATTTTTTCCCGTTTGTTTTTGTACAATCACTAGCACTGGTGGATCCATTGTCGTGATAAACGTCGACGTTTAATTTACTGACATTTGTTTCGACTACTGCCGTCGGGGTGGGTGTTGACGACGTCGTTATGTTTAAGTTACTTAATTTAAGCGTCGCTGAAATACCCTGTATGCTGGGTACCGGGGTTATTGAACGGTTTGACGCTTCTTGCATCGCCAAAATTTTAGCCGCCAAGTGCCGGTTTCCCAGTCGCATGTTTTTTTCTCGTAACATTTCTAATTGTGTGTAAAGGCGACGAAATTCTTCCTGAAATATTAAATAAAAATTTTATTATTATTATTCATTCATTAATTAAAATATGGCCATAACATTTATTTAACTCATTCAGAACTATTTACATTATTAATTTACATTACTTATTTTTCCGAGAGTAAATCCTCTTTATTTTACGAATCAAGCTTAAAATAATTAAAAAGCTCGCTTTTTATAAATAAATGCTAAAAAAAAATTTAACATCAGAATGTCAATAAAAAAAAGTCCATCGCTTCAAGCTCGCAAGCTACTTATTATTCTGTTGAAATTTTTTATTCAAAAATAAATCCCCTGTTTACTCAAAAAAAAAAAAAAAAACATTATTAAAGGATAAGTATTTTAAATGAAATAATAAACTTAACTCCATAATCTAGAGAATATTTTTATAAATTTTTCGCTCATTAGCTCTAACAAACAATCCTGTTTCATTGTCGGGATAATTATGCTATAAGCTACTGGTCATTAAATTTTAAATACATCCCTTTGGGATGTTAAAATTACGTTAGAGTTAAATTATTCAAACATACTGAAAGAAGAGTTTATTAATAACTGTTTATAAATTTAATTTTCATATAACCTGCATTGAAAATGTGAGTTTCAATGCTTGTTGAGCCAACTAAAACTAGTCAATTTCAGACTAATGCGACTGTGACCGTGCAGAAAATCATCATTTTCTGCCCGCGAGATGAAGTTACAGCTTTATTTTCAATCCTATATCAGAGTATTTTTTTTTTATTTTATACCTTTATAATTGTCATTTTAACCGTTAACTGTACTGACATAATATAATTCTGTTACTAAGTACAAATAAGAATGACAATATAAAACTATTTAATTTACGAATAATGTTTGATAAAAAATAAACTACTAGTTTCTTGAACTGTAGTTTTTAATTTCCTTAATAAGTTTATTAATAAAATTGTATTTTCGCTATTCGTTTGAAATTATCTAGTTCTAGTTGGCTCCAGACGTTGAAATTAGCATTTTTAATCCAACTTATATGAAATAGTATATTACACTACTAGGGCAGAAAGTTTGAGATTTCTGCACTGCACGTCATGATGCCCGAGGCGTAGCCGAGGGTATCACGGCGCGCAGTTCAAAGCTCTCAAACTTCTGCCCGTGTGGTGTATACTATTTTTTTGCTCGACGGGCGGAAAGCGTCAACTTTCGGCCCGCTGCGCTAAACGAAGTTGCCACTTTCTGCCTTTGTCGAGCAAAAAAATAACATACACTCCTCGGGAAGTAAATAAGAAAGCCTCAGATCACATGTTTGTTGACATGTGATCTGAGACATTTCTTATTTTACTTCCCTCGGTGTGTAATATACTAATTTTGGTCCCGTTGTTACAGAGGGCGAATGTGCAGCTTTACCAATGCACGAATCTTTAACTTTCTGCCTCGAAATAGATGCAAAAGATGCGTACTTTCAACCGAGGTATAAAGAAAAGAATTATTTTTTATCTGCTGATAAATATTTGTTTACTTAAAAAAAAAAAAGAACCCTATTGTGACAAATTTTGGCAAGTATCTTATAACAAAATTGTTTTATTAGATAGTAAAGTTAAATGATGATTAAATGGAATGAAACAAAGAAAGTGAGGAACGGAAAAGAATAAGGAGTACAATATAACATAATAAGTAAAAACATTTATAAAATCAGTGTATGGCAGTACGCCAGGCATTTGTATGATAATTAATCATCAAGTCAACGAGGCGTGGTTCGTTACCTCTTGCTTGTGGTTTACAAATACATTGTATTCTAACAACTATACTGTGTCGTGTCATGCGTTATATATATCTAAAGGCGGTCTACCTACTAAATTGCTTAAACTTTAAAGTACATGTACGTATAGAAGTATATATCAGCAGTAAGTAGAAACAAAAAGAGCCGGGGAGTAAAGAAGTCGCGTTAAATGTTTCTTACCATAACTCCGTCACCTTCCTCTGTGAAATTGGCCTGTTGCAGAGAAATAGAGTTCGTTTGGTTGCTGGATGCTTGCGCTCGACACGTCTTGCCAATAAATTTACCCGTTGCACCCGGAAGCTTCCCAATAGCGTCTTCTTTCCCACCACCGCGGAATACGACGTACGCCTGTCATACAAATTACAACAAATTTACTGATTTGCTTCATCAACAAGAAAGTCCTAAATAAATAGAATAAAGGGACAAGGATATTCTATTCACTCTGTTTATTTTTTTCGGCCAATCAGTTGTTGTTTCAATAAAAATATCTTTTTAGGGAGTTTTTTACCTTGCTGCCGAAAATTAGCCCCAAAAGCGGCGTCACCGTTAGTTGAGTATGACAGAAGAATATTATGTACATCAGGTCAGGATTTGCCGGTGACTGGAGGAACAACCTGTTTTTTCGGTATTATTATTATTATTAGTAAAGTTTACTGTGTAAATATTAATAATAAAAATTTTTTATGTTTTGCATTTTATTTCAAATAAATATTCTATCTAAAATGTTAAAGATATGAAAAAATTGATAAGAACCTTTTTTATAGAAAATTTAATTTCCTAGAAAAAATTCTCTTATCATTTTTTCATATTTTGAATAATCTGTCCAAAATAATTATAATAGTAATAATAAGAATAATTATGAAATTTTTGATTTTTTTTTTTAACCCTTCAGTACCCACGTTATTCGGCTCACCTTCTTTACTCTCGCGATGAGAAAAAATCTCACGTTTAATTAACATACGACTTAAACAAATATGTCGGTGGAGCGCTTACCGAAAAGAGCCGATCTACGCCGTAGGGAGCCGAACAGATCGATTTTTAACAACTTTTAATACTCTTGTGATGAGAAAAAATCTCACAGCCTTCAAAAAAAAATTTTTTTTTATTTATAATGAAAATAAGTAATTTTTTAATAAACAGTTAAGAAGAATATAAAATTTTCGGAAGGTAGAAAAAATTTCAAGTGGTCTTTCCATTTGAATTTAAAAAAGTTTGGAAAATTCAAAAGTGCACGCTTCATAATCTCATTTTTCACAATAAAATTGATTAAAATAAAATATCAAAAGCAAAATAATAAAAAACAGAAAACTCTGCTATGGCTTAGTGGCACCACAACTCTAAGGTGAGGAAAAAAAATACTATAATAAAATGTATAGATAGTTATACAAAAAAATCCATAGTCATATATTAGTTTATTATAAATAATAATTTAACGACAATGAATTGAACGCTCATTTTAATTGAAAAAATCCGTCGTGTGTTACTTTAGATAATAAAAAAAAAATTATTCCGGTAGATCATTTTTTCGACGAATTTCCCTGCCACATACACCCATCCATACACGGACGTCCAAAAAAAATTATGTTTAATGTCATTATTTACTATGTTAAACAAAAAAATTGTTATTGAAATATATTTTATGTGCCTGAAAAATTATTTGACTTGATATAAGTGTACTCATATTAACCTGCAAGTGTGATATAAATAACAAAAAATCAATTTCAATTTCGAGAAAACTGCTTTTTTTGAAATGTCGAGAGTAGAGCACAACCTCAACGCTTCGCTTATAAGGCGTGCAAAAATAATTAAGATTAAAACCGAGCGTGAGTAAAATTCTCATAACGTGAGTACTGATTTTAATATCAAAGATATCAAAAAATTGACAAGGAATTTTTTTACAGGAAATTTAATTTCCTAAAAAAAGCTCTCTTGTCATTTTTTCGTATCTAATATTTCACCTAAAATAATGATTTAATGATAATTAAAACACAATCTTAAAAGTGTAAGTTTTTTTTTTTTAATATCGCAATACCATAAATTATAATTATTAGTTTTATGAATAATTAGGAATAAATATGTACAGTTGTAATTATTGTTATTAAATCCACATGGATATTGCTCGTTAAAATATTAAATTTACATCGGTGACTAAATAAACTCCCAAGAGTGTTACATACTGCACAATAAACCAATTAAATTTACCACTCAGGAAGTATAAAATTCGAGTACCGGTTGTTCAGTTAATTGAATATAGTTAATTTAGATTTTAGAATATAATTAAATGGTCAACATGTGTTAATTGTTTTCATGTCACGGTTTCCGTAACTTTACTATAATTTAATTTATATTTTATTGGTTTTAGTTTGGTAGTTTTTTAAATTACCGTCTCTGATATTGAATAATACATTTTTATTGTTAACTGTTAAAAAAAAAATAAAAATTTTGTTTCAATAAATAAAAGTACTTACATTGAAACATTTAAAAATACAGAGAGTAAGAATTCATTGTAAATAGCCATTGAAATGAATCTACTTTCATTGAACTCCGAGGGAGCTTTCCTGACAACAATGCAGAGTCGTATTCCCCAGACTAGAAACATTACTTCCACTGAAAATACAAAGTTAAATTATTGTTTTAATTCCGGTTACAATAAATATATTCGAAGGAAGATCAAAAGTTCTTACAATGAATGACTTTTTATCTCGAAACTTACAATATCTTTAATTAATTAATTATTTAAATTATAATCAAGATAAAGGATAAAGCGAAGACTCTGAAGATTCTGACAGATTGAGATTAAAGTTGATTAAAAATATACTCCAATAGTAATGAAAAATATTTAATAAAATAACAGTGTCTTTTCTTAGAGTTTTTAGCTTGGAGAAACTATACAGAAGGTAAATTAATTATACAGAGAAAATATAATTCCGGAAAAAATTCAAATTAAATCTTGACAAAGGCACCAATTTTATTCTATTGAAGTTATTAAATGCACTAATAGATTTTGTAAAGAAAAAATAATAATAATTTTTTATCTAAATTACAGATGTTAAAATGACAAAAAAATGTTCTCGGGGTAATAATAATCCTGAAAGTTAATGAATATCATTGCAATGCAGTTAATGTTTTTTATCTCTCTTGTTACCCGATGGAATCAGCAAACGATTTTATGGACACACTTGTTGCACGAAACAGATCTGTGAATATCCATTTTAGTGATGTTTGGTTTTAGATTCATTATATAACTCTATTCAGTTATTTATTGACTAGTAATTTAATTAAAATAAACTACTGTATTTTTTGGCCTTTTTAAGGCCCAAATAATTTATTCTCAGAGTAAAAAAATGTAAATTACATAATAACTTACGTGTAGTGAAACTATGATCCCACCAGTCGGTTTTACATAAATAGGCTTTGAGATCATCAGCAGTTCGGCCGACGATAACAACCGGTGGTGCAACGATTGTTCGAATTCCCAGAAAGACGGTGAATATCGTGACTATTATCCCCAGACGTTTCAATAAGTTCATGTCTGTTATTTTTACTGCTTTTGCTGATTTTACTCGGAATATCACTGATATTCTACAATAAAAAAATTTTATCAATTATTTTTTTTTCTTTTTAATCACAATATATAAATTTAAAAAATGATTCGCTATTATAAGATCAAATTTTGAAAATTAATTTTCTTGACTAAAAAAAATTTTTTTTTTTTTGCTCTAAAAACAATTAAAATTTTTTCGGTGCAAGTAAACTTTTTTTTTTGTATATAAATTATTTATTTTTACAATAAAAAATTCAACGAGTAAAATATTGCGATAAATAAATGTCAGTATTGTCAAATTTTTTATCGGAAAAATGTTTCACCCGTAAAAAACAAATACATAGCCAAACATGAGGTTAATTAGTGCAATTTTTTTCAGTACAACAAACAACCAATCCATTATTTGAATACGAATAAAATCAACAGTGCTCGATAATATTTGAACTTTTATCTCTCATTAAAATGAATCCCTGGGAATCAGAAATTTTTTATAATCTAGAACACGATAATATTTATATTCACTGGCTGTTTGCTTTCGGAAGCAAACATTCCGCTGGTTAATTATGATATTTTTTTTTTTTCGTAAAAATAATAAAAGGAAAATTTGTTTTAGCATTGAAGTTGCGGAAGGAAAGGTCGAGAGGCGGAAGGGTGGATGGGTGGGGTAAAATCCCGTAAATATGTAGAATCCAGGATGTAGGGTATCGGGAGGGAAATAAAATTACAATTAGCTAAGTCTACGACAGGAGAAGTATAACCAGCGATACGTGTGACGCGATTATCACAGGTAACGTTGTTACTGTCAGTTAAATTAATTGATTACCAGTGCCGGCGGGCGAAATGGCTTTAAAGATATCGCCCCTCTAACTTTCACTGAAATTCGATTTACTTTAGTAATAAATTAACGTCAGTACTACCCACTAACTTCATAAATCACTAGCTATTAATTTTTTCATATTTTCGTCTTTGCTCTTGCATTTATTTCATTTCTAATATAGTCAACAACGCTATACAATCATGCGAGAATTTTTTAATATTTAATAAGCTTCATTGACTGTTTTATAAATGTTTATTAATATTTAATCACTAATCAGTTATTTATTAAATTAAAATTACTAACAATTATTAAATTTTATTGAAAATAATATATTAATTGATAATAAATATTTATTTGAACTCTTGAATGAAAAATGAGTGTCAAATTTTCGTATAAAAATTTTTTACAACCCCATGATTGGCATGTAAATGTAAATTAATAATTTTTCTTTTAAAAAATTTATTTAAATATTTTTTTTTTTCAGTATTATTGCATTCTTTATCACGTCAAGTGAACAAACTAATGTTTCTTAAGTTTAAAAAATTTTTTTGTATATTTTTTATGTATAAATAAAATTTTTTTTTTCATTTGTAAACTTTTCTTTTGCTAAAAAAATTTAAGAAAAGTCTATTTAATTAATTATTCCCAGTTGAAAAAAATTTTCTTATAAATAAATTGATCTAAAAATCAAACTTAGATAAATAAAAATTTTTCTACAGAATTTGATTTTTTGTTCTAATTCCCTCTCTCACCAAAAAGTACCCAGAGAGCATTAACCCCTAATTTAAATATTCAAAAAATTTCAATAAATATTCCTTACTGACTCGCGAAATTCCCCGAAAAGTGACAAGTAATGCCTCACCCTTTGAACCAACTGTCAATCGATCATATTCGTCTCGCAGACACATTTTCTCATTTTAATTTCCACCCTCTCTTCCATCCGTCAACCGAGGAAGTTATTGTCGTGACAGGAGTACCAAAACGCACGAGGGATGTCAAAAACCCCAGACATAATAAAATGGGCTTATAGTCTTCCTCCTCTTTATTATTTCTACCCGTCCAACACTCTATCCCAAATACGTTTTTCCTCCCAAATATCCAACGAGTTTTTCCAACAAACCACACATAATAATGATAATACTAATATATAGATATATCTATATAGATTATGTTACCACAGTAATTTATATTCACATCTATCGTTTGCTGCAATCAGACTCACCATGAATTTAAATGTCCTCATAAAACTACATTGTCCCTTTTTATTGAAACTTTAATTTATATTTTACTAATTCAGTAATTTTAGATTAAAAATTTTATAAATTACAATTGCGCTTTATTCAGTCCGCGACTTTATCAGCTTATTTAAATTTCCCTAATTTTATATTTAACAATCATAATAATAATAATTTTAATTCTATTAAGCGTTTAATAAATAAAATAATAAAATTCACTTGAATTCCCTGTCGGAACGCTACGAATTATTTATCTCCATACTTTTGATAGAATTTTTTTATTCATATATATTAATACTATTATTTTTCACATTTATATATTTTTTTTATTATCTGATTCGTAATAAAACTCAATCATTTATATTTATCTTCATTCCAGTGTTTCAGCCCACGCAATTTAATAAAAAAATAAATATTTCCCCAATAAAAATTTAAAATAAATTTTATTTTTTAAGGCTCTAAAGCTTGTAGCGCTGAAATTTAAATTTTTTACCCTTCAGAGTTAAAAAAAAAAAATATTTTTATAAAAAAAATCATGTGAAGTTAATTATATATGCGTGACACTGCGCAGCGAATTATGAATTTTCTTTAGGTCTCGGGAAAATACGTCTCTACTATGTGGCGAAACTCAAAGGGTAGTTGATGAATATAATTATAAAGTCGGCTGTGCTTTTCCTTGCGAGTCTTACTTTCTCGGTACAATTTACAATTATATTATTAACTATATTTTATTTTATTTTCTGGGTCGACACCTCTTGACAGATAGTTAAGTTGCTCTCTCAGAACTTGAAAGGAATATCAAGCTCACTAAATACTCTAATAAAGGGCTCAGTTCAAGAAATTCAAGTCAAGTGCCTTTATACGTATCGCATTCTGCTTTTTCACTTTTGCTCTCTACTCATAATTTATATCACATTATAATATTACATTCAAGTCTATGTTTTAGTATGCCAGTTGAATTCATGTGTATTTTATCTCCAAGTTAATGCACCATTGCGTCCATTATTTCTCCGGCGAATTGGATACTCTTGTCATCTCAGATATTTCGAGCTTTATAGCTTTTTTATTTCCTCCTAAACGAAATTCTAAATAAACATTTATCGCAACTTATTAAATTATTTCTATTTTATTAAAAAATGCGTCGAATAAAAATTTTTTCTTAAAACGTGACCTAAAATAATTAGCTTTTTTCAATAGAGTATTTTTTTAAGCTTTCGTATTTTTGTGAGACGTTGAATAGAATCCCAGAAATGTCTTTTATTTTTACTCAAGCAATTTTTTTTCTATAAAAAATAATACAATTAATAATATTCAAAATAAAATGAGATTCTTCTTAAGGTAAAGTACCCAGTAGTTGAACAGGTTTCAAAATAAAACGTATTTGACCCTATTTTTAATATATAAATATGTAATTATTAGTTCAAATTAGTGATTTTCATGAAAATATAAACAATTTTGAATTGATTGAAGCGCAAAATAACAAAAATAATTGAATATTTATAATTTGACAACGTTTTTAATTAAGATAGACTATGAAAGGAGTAGTAGTTGAACAATCAATTCTGACAAGCCGCAGTAGTTGAACACTCCGGGAGCAGTAGTTGAACTAATAAAATATATGGCAATAGGCACACCAAAATTTTTTAACGTTTAATTGAAATATTCAAAGATTTATAATATATTATTGAATAATATTAAAAATAACACTGTGAATATTTAATATGTTCATTTAAAAATGAGAAATATTTGTATTTAATTTATTAATTACATTTTTTATGAATGACAAAGTAAATTTTCAATTATAAATAAAAAAAACTCGATTCAAAACGTTCAATAGTTTTTAACTATACTAATTTTTAGTTATAAAATGTTGGATTCTCTGAGCAAAAATAAATTCCAGTTACAAACTTTTAGTTTTATATTTTAGATATTTAGTTCTTAGAAATATTTATTTTAGAAAAATAACGTATTTTTCTTTTATTAGTTTTTATATGTGAAAAACACATTTAAGGCACATTTGTGCAGCTAGAATAAGAAAGCCTGTATAGGCTTGATTTTATGACCTTAGGTACTTGAGTTGTACAAAGGACTCTCTATTTTACACTGTACAGTACAACCAAATATTACGGTCTTAGTTAAGAAGAAAAACATGTGTTTTACTAAGGACAATACAGAGGGTTAGACCTCACAATAAAATAGTTTTTAACATTATAGTTAGTCTGCGACTAAACTCTGTCAAGTAACGACACTTCTCTCGATACGATTCTTTTCTTTAAAATAAAGATTCTATTTGAATCACTCTATGTGGATAATAATATTGTTTTTCACTTTATTTATTATTAATCCTATCCATAACTTCCTACATAAAACTTATTTAATTTGCAGTAATTAATACAAATCACAATACTGATCACTAGTTTATGAACCTATTAAAGGTTAGAGTGCTGTTAAAATTATACGGTCCCAGCTTGTTCAAGTTCTGGGTACTGCTTTGAAAATTGGGAGGTATAGTTGAACGCTAAAATTTAATATAAAAATTATAGTTTATGTCTTTGCAAAAAATATGTATTATTTAGAAAAGACTATTTCATTTGGTGGTACAATTTTTTTCACTTAAAATGATGATATACCGTTTTTTTTTATTGATTGTTCGGTTTACGGTTTAGTACCTTTTTCATGAAAAAAATAGCATCTATCGGCGATTCTTGACATGTCAACTTTAAAATTAAAAAAAATGTAATTATTTTGATTTATAATTGAAAAAACTTACTGAAATCAATTACTGTATCATTGAATAATTATAAAATGCGCATATGACTCATAATATATATACAGATTTTGTATTACAGCAATTCTAAAAGTCTATGTTCAACTACTGGTCCCATTTTTAGAAGTGTTCAAGTACTGGGTACTTTACCTTATCTTCTAATTCTTGGCTTCAAGAATTTTTCTCTTGATTCAAGATAATTTTTTTTCGTGTATGTTTACATACCTCCAGGTTTTGAGCATCAAAGCGCCATAAGTAAGAGAAAATCCGATTTCCCTGAGCCAAACTCGGATCGTGCACGTCACCACATTTGGGCGGGGGTACATCACAATTGTCTGGAAGTTTTAAATTAATTTATTACTTTTTTAATAATAACAGTAAAAAAATGTTTTTATTAAAAATTCCAATGGACTTTTTGATCTCAAGTTGTGAAGATTTTTATGACACAAAGCAAAATATATTTTTTTAATCAAATGTTTAATAGATATTCATATTGAGAAATTTCATGTCTCGCTGTTATCAATAAAAGTCACGAGAATTTTATTGGATATTCCATATTATATTTTAAATATAAAGGATTTATTGAATATTATAACTGGGGCTTGTAAATACGGTAGAGATATTTCAAAAATTAAAAATAAAATAACGGGTTCGGTCTCTGACTCTGAATGAGCTTTCGAGGATTATTACTTTTTCAACAGTTCTCCAGCCGGATAAACAAACATATTTGATAAAAAATTCAATATGTACTTACTGTGAAGTAAATGAAAAATGCGCCGAGAACAATGACACGCAGCAGAACCGGGCTCGCAGCTTTCACCACCTGGAATTTCAGTTTTAAATTTAAATGTTAATCGTTTCGGGGAAAACAAGCCGGCTTTGTTTCATTTTCAGCGAACGGGAATCAATAAATGACCGGTTCTCCAGATAGTTTAGTTTCTTGAAATCGGCGATTATATATATGCATGCATAATGGATATTATATATATCTAGGGGTATCGATTTCACCCGGCGGTACGGTAAATAATTGAAGGAAATTGAACTGACTGGTAGTACGGCTACGGCTATGGCCACGGCTACGGTCGTGTGGTCAACAAGTAGAGCTTCTGTTCTATTCTAGTTTGTACTACTCCCAGTACCAGCAAGTAGAATTACCTGACGGGGTTTACTGTCGTCGTTCGATACTGCTGTCCATGCTATATATAATTATGTCTCTTGGTCATTTTATTGACCCTTTATGCCAAACTCAAGAATTCAATTAATTTAATATCAATTAATATTCATTTTAGTTCCGACTGTTTTATTTTTTTAAATTGAATTTTTTCTTTTGATAAATTTTAAAATGTATTTAAGGAGGTCCTTTCGCCATCAAAATAAAAAATATTAGATTATGCATACAATTAATTTTTATCTAATAATTAAAGTCCTTATTTATCTACTAGTAAAGTTTAATTTATTCTTCACCGTGAGAATTTTTGAAAAAAAAATTTCTAAAAATGTTAGTATTTTTTCTGAGTCTTACGAGAAAATCAGACCTTAACAACTTTCTCGAATTATGGCATTAACCACCGATTAGATGGGGTAAAAAAAAAACTCAAAATAAGGTTTTCGAAATATTCAGGTTTCACTTTTTGCAATAAAATATATAGGTTGCCGTGGAGTTAATGGAGAAATTAAAATTATAAAATTTCTAAGTAACCTACATTTAATGGCGTCAGAACATTTGGCAACGTTGTGTAGCGCGCGAGCTTCAGACCATTCAATAAATTCAAACTAATTTTAACGCACTTATGTTTTTCATACATACTTATTAGTTAATTTATTGTTAACAAATTTTCGTATTTCATAATTGAAAAATAAAACAATAATTAAAAAATATTAGCATTCCTGCCATAAAACATTAGATTGTTGGGGTTTTATGACTAAACATTTTTAATTAATTTATTTATTTGTTTACACTGACTGCAAAAACTTAAACATGGTTAAGGTTATATTGTGCAAATGAAAATGTAAACAACCGAAATATAGCGTTGCCAAATCAACGGACAGGTTACTAACAGCTGATTTACAAGTGTCAAATTAATTTTTGTATTTAACTATTTTTTTTTAATTTTCAAAATTTCAACGATTAATGTCTCATATACTATTTATTTTTTAATTTTAGTAATTTTTATGGGTTTTTTATTTTAATTTATCGAATATTGACTACTAAAGTTGTTGTGACTCAACTGGAGTGAAAGGACTTCCTTAAGAAAACATTTTTTCTGCCCTCCGGCCGGAAAGTGGCAACTTTCTGGCCGCTGCGCTAAACAAAGTTGCCACATTCCGGCTACGTCGAGCAGAAAAATAGTATACACACCTTGGCCAGTAAAAAGTAAAGCCTCAGACCACATGTTTGTCAACCTCGGCTTCGCCTCGGCCAACAATTACATGTGGTCTGAGACTTTTCTTATTTTACTGGCCTAGGTATGTAATATACTAATTCTTGCTCTCCTAGCCGAAAGTACGCTCATCCTGGACGCACTTTACTCCAGGAAGAGCAACATTTATGGCCGGCTCAGCCGGCTCTCTACGCATGCGCGCTACGCATATTTTCTGGCCGGCAGCACAGAGCCTCGCTTTCTTTCGTACTTTCGTGGTGCGACCGGCCTATACAGCGAGTTTCGACTGTATATAACAGTCACAACATCGTCTGTATGTAACCATGAGTAAGGCCTCGTGACGTCAAAACATTTGGCAACGCAGGTAGACTCAAAGATTACGGGGATCACAGAAGAGACAAGTAACAAACGAACGAGACAGATACAGGGATAACTAAATATTATAGCTCAACAGGCCTTACGGCTACACCTCCCCGCATGGGCCCCGCTGGGCAACTGGTCGGATTGTCATTATATTACCGGCCAGGCCAACGTAGTCGTTGAATAAAGTTGTATAGGGGAGGTTTGATACAGTGAACAATTACGAGGACAGATTGACATTAAATTAAATACAACTCCATTCACATTCTGTCCAGCGTAAAAGCTGGAGGGCAGGGTTTATCCTTGCCCGGGGAGTTGACGGTGCTTTTGTTTGGTGAGATTTGGGTTTTATTTTAAGTGCAGGTATAGCTTTTTTAAGCCCAGGAAACGGCCTGTTCGAAACGAGGCAGACGAAAGTCTCACCAAATAACTCGACCAATTTCCAAACTTGCACTCCTGCCACTTGCTCCAGAGCCAGATGCCTAGGACGTCTTCAATCATCTCATCGCTCCAATGGATCACTCCAGGACTCAATCAGCAACTCCGTTCCTGATGGCGGGCGGAATGTTGCGTAAATACCATATGTTCGCGCCAGAACATGTGGTAAGTTCGCATTCAACCTCACCAGAGATGCGGCGACTGACGCGCACTCTGCAAGTCATCTCCCGAAGTCAACAGCAGCTTGCGCGCCAACCGCCATAACAAATCCACACGCTGTACTCAACAACACGTGCATTGTGTTTGTGCATGTTATCTCTCTTAATCAGAGCGTTTGTTAGTAAACTTTAAAATAACTTATTTTTTTTTTTTATTTATTAATTTTTACTTTTTTATTATGCCCGCCCCGACCAGTAAAACCTCGGCTTCGCCTCGGCTTTACAAAAGTCGGACGGCGCCCCCCTCATCCCCGGCAAAACCTCAGCTTCGCCTCGGTTTTGCAAAACCCCTTCCCCGGGGTTGCGTACTTTCGGCTGGAGAGCAAGAAAAATAGTATACAACCCATGACCAGAATGTTGGATGCCCTGACGTATATCACATACGCCAGGAAATCCAACTTTCTGGCCTTGGGTCGTAATATACTATTTTTGTAAGTAAATCAATCTTACACGGAAAAAAATTTCTGGGAAAATTTACGATACAACTATTGTAAAGCTGGACTATACTTTCATTACTGTGAATTGTTAAATATTTTAGAAGAAAATTTACTATTTAATCATGAAATTTTACAACTTACTATTGTATTAAATTCGATTAGAAAAAATAAGATATTACTATTGTAAAATTTAAGAGATTAAAATTTCCAGTACTGACTCTGTATCTTTGCAATAGAAGTATAACAAATTTTACAATAGTTGAATTGGAATGGTTTCAATTAATAGTGTGAGTGATGGCCGTGCACAGCGTTAGAGTTCGAGTTTATCTAAATGTTGAAGGACATTGTTATTAGTTTTCCTCGGATAGCCTAGAGGAAGAGTTTCTGACTGCCAACAAAGGGTTCTGAGTTCGATCCCCGGATAGGACGAAAATTCCGATTCCTTTTGTCGGTTACTGTTGTAAAGGTACCAATTAGTCCAACCTCCAATCTCTCTCCCTGCCTAAAATTTCTTTTAAAAAAACCGACTCTGAATTTTTACAATAGTTGAATTGTAAAGTTCACAAACACGTATTGTATAATTTTCTCTATAATAGTATTTGACTTTGTAAGTCTCTTGCTAGTCTTGTTTGTTGGATAAAATTTACAATAGTAGATAGTAAAATAGTAAAAATCCCTTCAATTTTTTTTCCATGTACATTTGATCATAATTATTCTCTTATTACCAAAAAAATTATTTATATTATTTTATTTTATTTTAATGGAAATTATTTATGCAAAATATAAAATTTTTAGTAATTATATAATTTTTTAATTAATATTTATTATAAAATTTTATTTTATTAATATAAAATATTCAAAAGGTGTAAATTATAAAGTGTAAAATTCCCGAAGCGTTGAGAAATAGAGCCATAATCTAACCGAAAATAACAAACAGTATCTACAATAGAGTAAAACATAAAGTTTACGGTGGTCAGAATTTATATCCTTAGGATTGAGATAACTCTCACGAGTAAAGGCGTAAATTAAACGTCTAATAAATTCCAAAAACAAAGATTCAAATTTAGCCTATTAAATAACATATTTTTCATTCTAAAAGTAGTTACTGTGCATGGGTTACTTTTAACGAGAATGTGACCATAAATCGCTCGGCGAGCTGGCTCGTAAATAAGTCCTGGATGTCTAATGTTTTGATAATTAACTTGTAATTTATGCGTATAAATGTATGGAGGTTAGTTTAATAATAATTGGAAATAAATGACCTCGACATTCTCGGGGTTACATTGCGCGAGCGTAAATTCGGTGACATCCCTGATTTGATAGGTAGCATTATGATCTGCCCTGGAATATAGCTGACATGTGAGTGCACTCGACAGTAGTCAAACAATAATTCTGTCAATGCCAGCAGACGTGCGTCAAATTCATATTAGTTTGACGAATGTTTATTACGTGTATAAATAACTTGTAAGTGTAATCCATTTCAAATGTA